CTCTGAATCTCATGGCTCAGCTGGGTCTGAAGGTCACTCAACTTCTTCTTCAGGCCAGATAGTGCAGACAGAACGATGGTTTCTGGGCGCAGAGAGCCGCAGGACTCCACATTGTAATAAAACCTGAGATTACAAGTCAGGAGAGAAAAAGTTACCACCTGCTCTGGAAGGATGTGTAAAACCAGAGAGCACCCACAGAGCAATTCCAGCCCGTTGTGACCCACAATGAGATCTCCACGAGATCTGCTGGGAGTCCCCAGCCATCAGCATCACTGACCTACCAGCTGGGCACCTCTACCACAGCAGCCACAGACCCAGAGCTCACTCCAGCACTTGTGACCCTCCAGGCTGCAAGAACATTTGTGAGATTTTCCCTGCTCAGCTCTGTGACTTAAAAGCTGCACTGGGAAGCTAAGTCTGGCTGGCTGCAGGTACTCCTACTCCTTCAGTACAAATCACCTGGAAGAGGGTGTACCACCAGCCAAAGCATGAGACTCACACGGGTGAATAAATGCTGCACGTGCTGGTGACATCGGTGTCTTCAGCATCCTCCTAAAGCATCTCCTCACCAAGCCTCATACTTCACCAAATACCCTAATGCCCTGCTTGACAACACAAAATCACAGGAGTCATCTATTATCTCCCTGAGAGGAAAATCTGCCAGGCCTGGACATATCACCAGTGAACTGCAACTCCTACCTTGCTTTCCAAGGAACACCAGCTCCCTGGGCCAGGAAATTTCAGAGCAGCGTATCTGACACCAACAGCAGACAAAGCAAAGCAACCAGCAGGATCCCCCCCATCTCCCAGCAGTGGGAGCACATTCAGCTTCTTACCTCTCAGGCTTCCCATTGGGGTCGTATGGGGCTTGAGCATCCTCCTCATCGATCTCTGAGTATTCACTCTTAGGCCTGGAATCAAAGAGCAGGGAAGGTCAGCACGGAGCCCACATTCTAGCACATTTAGCCCTACAGCACACAAGCACTCAGAGGAACAGCAAGCACTGTTTGCACTGTGGCACAAGTTGCACTGCCACAAGACTACACTATAACTTTGACAGATGGAGCAACTTGCCAGCCCCAGCCTGGTGGGACCTGCCAGACTCCTGCCTCTCTGAACTGCACAGGACAGACAGGATCAATCCTGCTCTGCCCCAGCTCAGCGAGCGCTGCCTGAGGTACTGTGGCTCCATCCACTGCACTGGCATAGTCTTATAGCTGCTACGAGCAAAGGGATGACAATGCCTGAAGGGACCACATTGTTTGTACTTTTCACTTGGTGAGAAAAACACCAGAGCACACCAGCACCGTCTCTGCTGCACAGCTGAGATGGGATTTTTCCTAGCAGGAATTAATCAGACATCAGTGAGACTCATCCTGATGTCCTGTACCTCCGCTCCTCTATATACATCACCAGCAACATCACTGCAGTACCACGTACATCAGCTGGGCCAACACACCGAATCTTTCTACCTTCTACACTTCATGGCTTTTAGGACATCACACTGGAGAGACTGTTTAGAAGCATTTAATCCATGTGAGAAATCTTTTAAAGTCCCTCCAAACAGACCCAGCCTTATCTTATCCCAGCACTTAGGTTTAGGAGCCCTTAAGTGTCAGGCTTAAGTTCTAGGCTATTATTACAGCTGTTGTTCTGGATACCCTGGGTTGACCCTCAGACTACATATCCCACTCCAGACAGGCCAAGCCCTGTGTTTTAGTCAGCTAGGACATACCACTCCTCCGGCTTGGGATACACTGTGTGCCTCAGTGCATTGTCCGGGTCATATTCGAAGGCTACGCCAGCCGTGGGGTTCCACTTGGCGTGCTCCTTGCCAAAGCCCTTCTTGGCATACGCTCGCAGCTTGAGCTCCTGGCCCTTCCGCAGCTTCACAATCAGGATGTCTATGGAAAAAGACATGCCGGTTTGACAAGGATGATGAGAAATAAGTGAGCAGGATCACACAAGTGAAAAGGCAGGAATGATTAGTAACCAGGAAGATGTCACCAGAAGCCAGGGCTTGCCTGGATTCTTACAGGGACTCATTTGTGTCCCCATAGTAGCTAGAAAACATCCTGCTATGTAAAAAGGAATTGTACACACGCCCAAAGGCACAGCTCAAGCACCCAGGCAACAAAAGACAGTAGAGCATTTTGCATCTTTGCTGTCTCTAAGCTCTCACAAGCGCAGACAGAAATGGTTTCTGACACAGGACATTAGTTCTGGGGATAACATTTAGGTGGTGTTAACATAAAATGCTAACCCCACTGATGGTGTCTCCCAGCTGTCACTTTAGATGTCCACTTGTTTTACACCTACTTTAGGGTTACATGACTAGTAAATGCAGGACGTGTTCAAAGAGACTGAAAGGAAAATCCATTTCCTCCTACAGATCTTATTCTCATTGAAACACCACTTACCATCCTGCTCCACATAGTCATTGGGGTCGTTATCTCTGCTCCGAGATGTTACCTGCAGAAGGAGAACAAAACCAAGTGAATTAACTGCAACATCACTTTTTCTCCCCACAACAAATGATAATTGCCTACAAAAATGAGAGGCCGCAGAAAACCACTTTACAGTGCCTCACAGCAACAAACTGATCCACCCTATCTAGTGGAAATCAGGACAATTTAGACAGCTGCAGCTCCATATGTGATATCCTGCTCCACAAGCCTGCTTCCTCCCACAGGATAGACAGGATCACAACCTGGGCACCGTGCATCTGCTTAGTTCGGGGACGCAGTCCAGAGTCACCCACAATACTGCTAGAAGGCAACGCACAGAACTCACAGCACTGCAGCAAGGTTGGACTAGATGATCTTAAGAGGTCTTTTCCAACCTAAATGTTTCTATGATTCTATGTCTAACACTTTAACCAGACAGACTCTGGAACCACCTTCACTGTGCCACCAGAAGCAGCCCCCAGGTTACACTGACCTCCAGATGCAGCCTCAGGGACCCTCCAGCCAACACCTTTCTCAAACTTTCTCCATTAAGTCCCTCTGCATCTGTTCTCCCTTGTCTCTGCCAACCCTCCCCAAGGTGACTGGCTAAGAGCTATTTGGCAGCAGTGCTGTGGCCCAGGCTCCTCACACCTTGCCACGCTGCGATCTAAGAATCAGAAAACCTGAAGCCTCTGGGCTGCTGCCAGGGCTTTGAAAGGGCTGACCTTGCCAGAGTCCTGGCAGCAAGCAGGCAGCAGAATGCAACAGCACAGTATGACACAAGCACACACACTCTGAGCGTTCAAGGAAAGGTAGATGGGCTGCAGCTAAAGCTTCCCATGAGGCGAGGATGAGGGCTGCAGGATGAGGCGTTAACAAGGCCATACTGTTTTAAGATGTTATCAGATAGCAAGTGAATTCCAACAAGGCAACAAAAAGAAGGGTACTGGCACATGCTGCTGTTTCTGCAAATATTCCTGCTTTGTGCTGCCACTGCATTTTAAACAGGACTTTAAGGCAGTGCGAAACATTCTTCAAGGCCTTATTTTGTCCATATCCCATATGCTAGCCAAACCAGCCTCTATGGTAAAGTAGAGAGGGGACTCGCTGCCAGCAGAGATGACACTGACCGGTATGACACGGGGGTTGTTGGAGATGAGATCACGGGATGTGACGTGACGAGTCTGGTCTTCATTGCACCGGACATCAAGGGTAAACTCCACAGAGCACTCTGGACAGAACTCATCACATGTGCAGTCCTGGGACAGACATGGGTCAAAACATTTGTGCCAAAGTGCTTGCAGCAAGAATCTGTAGCATCTCCCACTAATTCAGGCACCTACCACCACCACCACCACCACAATAAGTACCCAAGATGTTTTATTTTACTCACTCTGGAATATTGCATCTTATCCACAATGTCATCACTGGTGAGTGGGATGAGACCTGTGGTAATCAGGTTAACAGGGTAATTAGAGACATGTCTGAGTGACACTGTCCCTCCTGTCAATGCTAGCTGAGGAATGGCAGCCTCACGACAAAGGTGCTTTAGCAGTCTTGAGACAAACTTTGCCCACGACCTGTGCCTTGCTGTTATGCTAGCCCTTCATGCCATTTCCACCTCCCTCCTCTAACCTGCCAGGCACTCACCCAGTCTGTGGGCAATGAATTCATCATGAAGGACAGAGGAGTTGGCATCTATCTGGACCCAGTCAATAGCTGCAATGAAGAAAGAAACGTGCTGAGACGTATTTCTGCGGGAAAAAGCCGAGCAGTTCATAAAGGCACAGAAAATTGTGGATGACAGTGAAGCTGAGCTGGCAGCAGCCCCAGGAGTTGCACCCAGCAGTACTGGCTGTGCATCCACTGCCATCCAAGGGAGTGGAAGATGAGTTGGAGGAAGAGGAGCAAGCAGATGGGAACTGACGAGCGGGCGGCAGCCCAAAGAACCACCAGCAGGCCAAACGGTAAGAGAAAGGCCATACCTATAATGGGCACTTCTGCTATGAACACTCTTCGGATGGAGTTCGCCACCCTGCAACACAAAGCGGGGCTCAGGCGCTGAGAAGGGCAGCGCCTTGAGACCGAGCAGCAGCGCTGACGGCGCCCACCGCAGCTCCACGGCTTCACCGGGCCCAGCCCAAGCCCCGGGGCCGCCCCAGCTCCGGCTTCACCGGGCCGAGCCCCCCGCCCCTCCCCCGGCTCGGGCCTCCGGGGCCGGGCAAGGCCGCGGGCCCGGCCCCGCACCGCTCGCGGCCTGTGCGCTCCCTCCCCCCTCGGCCGCCGCCGCCCCCCGCGGGCGGTGCTCACGCCAGGTCGGTGTTCTCGATGATGAACTTGACGTTCTCGTCCGTCAGCTCGGTGATGCGCACCGTGGGCTGGTTGGCGTACGGCATGGCCGCCCCGCGCCTCCCCTTCCCTCCCCGCCCGGCCCGGCTCTGCCCTGCCCGTCCCGGCCGCCCCCCCCTCGGCCGCCCCCTGCAGGCCGCCAACACCTCCCGGAGGCCCGGACCCGGACCCGCCCCCCCCGGTGGAAGCAGGCGGAGACGCGGCGCGGTGCGGGTGCGCTCGGCTTTATTGCTGACGGGGGGAGAAGGAGGCGAAGGCGGCCCCGGCCTCGCTCCGGCTCCAGCGTGGGGGTTCCGGCATCAGCGGCGCTGGTTCAGCCCCGTCAGGTTGGTGATCTGCGGGACACGACACGGGCAGGGTCAGCGCCGGCCAGAGCCGAGGCTAATGCAAAAAGCCCGGAGAAACGGCGCCCTGGGTACCCTCGGGAAGAGCCAGCAGCGTTCCTGAGAGCTGCAAAAGGCCCTCCTTGCTTGCTCGGTTCGGGGGTTGAGCTGGGTTTTGTTTCTGTGACTGCACCCAGCACACCCAAGCAGCACCTGCAGCCATGGGCATGGAAGCCCTGTCCATACTGCTTCCCAAGAGTTAACACGCTTGGGATGTTTCTGCCCTAAAACCAGCTGGCTGGAACCCACCCCTCTCCCGGGGAACTCGCATCTCATTCCTCTTTTTATCTGCACAGTGGAACTGTTGGTGGAACACAAGCAGACAAAACATCCGGGAACATAAAATATTCCAGACCCAAGCTGCGCACTTGTCACGTGTAGGAGAGCATCGTACTGATGCACAAGCTCAGACAGTGCACCCGGACTTCTCTGATGGAGGATCTTACAATCATACCAGCCTTTGCAGGACAGCTATGGCTGTGGATGTGCAGCAAGGCTGAGAAATGCTTAAAGAACTATTCCACCATAACTGCAGGTGGAAGTAGGTGAGAGAGATTCTTCAGAATTGCTTCACACAGTGAAAATGGTTTCTAATGTATATTCCAGGTGGTTTGGCCTCCTTGTACTGGTAATCACAAAAAATGTGTATTACTGGTTACTACGAAATCACTTTGCTGCTAAAATGCAATGGGAGTTGTCCAAAACATCACCGCAGTAGGGCAGCGAAGCTCTTAAAAAATAATGTGTGGGTACACTAGGGACTGTTTTGTGTCCTACAGAAGTGCAGCTACCTCATGGACATACAGATGTCTGGGACAAATGAATTCACGGAGGACACTGCCATCCCCTGAAACAAAAAGCAACTTCCCCGAGCAGGTCACAGTTGTTCAGGTTGCAATATGGGCAGAAACACTGTCAGCCACCCTACAGTGGGCAGTGAGCTCCCCGGGAAGCCAGAGAGAACAGGAGCTACCCAGAAAATCATTCTTACATGTAGTTAAGCTATGAAAGACTATTCTCTTTCATGCTGTAGCCTAGAATCAGAAGGGCAGACATGCTAGCATTAAGCATGGAACAGAACATAATTCTGCCCTTACAGCCCTGTTGGTTTCAGCATTACTTACAGTAACTGCAGCTCCCATCAGGCCCTGGGCAAGCGCTTGTCCGGTTGACTGTACCTAGGAGATGGGGAGAACATAACCTTTAGCTTTCTTCTGCAGTTACACTTGTAGATACTGAAATACAGAGACACAATCGTAACAAATGTGTACTTGCTACAAGAAGGTGCTGATACAAGCCAAGCACTGAAGAAAAATTATAGCCAGAGATAAGATAGAAGGAAGGGATTTTCAGGGAACATACAACTCCTAATCATTGGGTCAGTCTGACAAAATGACAAATGTGTTGTTTTATTAGAACACACAAGTATTTACTGATACGGAGCTGACAGCATTTATGCCATCACCCACCAGTATGCCAGTGGTCTCTCAGCAAGCACATGGAGCATGTGGTCTGCATGACTGAACAGCCAGCTCTGTCTGCACATGTTTTGGTACACGACGAATGCTGAGTGTATACCTTGTCCACAATGTTACCTGCTTTGCTGTATTGTCCATGTTCATGGCGTCCGCTATTCGGTTTTCCAGGAAGCGCCAAGTCTCTTCAAACTCAGGGGATGAATCCTGCATCATCACCAGTTCTGTGGTGTTGTAGATGCCAGTGAGCACAGCCCGACGAGTGTACCAGTTAAACTGCAGGGGCATGGATTGAGAGAGAGAAAGAGAGAGAGGTGACCTGAATGGAGATCACTAAAGCAGGCCTGGAGAACCACAAAAGAAATCAACGTGCCATCTCCTTATTGTTAGCAACTGGGCAGTTCCTGGTAAACCGCCCAGTGAACAGAGCCCTAGGACTGCATGTTCCTTCTTGAATTAAACTGTGCAGCTCGCCCCTGTGATGCACTGGGCCACCAGCCACCACCACCATCTGACAGCACAGCTGATCCCATGGCACCAGACAGAGGTCACAAGCACCGTGTATAAAACTGCTCAGCACAAACACCACCGCCTGCTTCTGGTTGCAAGCAGGCACCTGAAGCAAATGCACCCAGCTAGCTGGCTGTATTGTGCAAGAGTTTATTTTGCTTTAAAGACTGCTAGCAGAAAATGCAACACTATAATTCCAGAGCTGATTTGATGTGTTTACTTCAACAACGCTGTGTTTACTTCTGAATTTCAGCTGTAGTTTGCTCCAAAAACATGTAGAAACAGAACAAACTGATGATAGAACTGTGCACGGCATCACAGGGATACACCTTACCCAAATCCTGTAACTGAAATGCCAGTATTGCCTGCTGAATCACTAAATACATCGGTACACTGCTGGCAGCAGTCCTGTAGGATATGCTGCAACGATAGGTTACACAATGCAAAGATTCACAAACTCTTCAGTTTTTCCACTTGCGTTTGAATCACTGGCAGAGAATATATACACACTTCTAAAAATGAGTCTTCAACTTCATTTCCTGCTATTATGGTGATTAAACAATTTGTGTACCTAGAAAAAATACTGGTTGTTCCATTCATGATTGCAAAGCAACAGGAAAATTAAATCATTGGTCTTAATTTTGAAAACAGTTGGATCAAAAACTCTGCTGTCTGTACCACAACCTGCAAACTGTGACAAGACAAGTAACATGAGGGATGTCACCATCTGCAGCTGGCTCTCTCACGTCTCTGAGACCAAACTCCTTGTGCTGATTTTCTTCCTGCTCTGAAAAACACTTGAAAGGGTCTCTGAGGCAACAGCATACTGCACAGCTCCTGGCATTGTGAAGAAGGCTCTATTACAAGCGAGATTAAACTCCTTTACAGGAAGGAGGAAGTGGAATCAGCATTGCAGCATCCCAAGAAAATGCTTACGATCAGTCAGAGGGTGCAAAGAAAAGAACTTCTCCTACTCCCTGCAGCAGTGAGAAAAGTTTAGGAACAGCTCAGTGCAGACACTGATTCTGACATGTGAATTTGACTTTCATAAGGAACTTGTAGCTCCTGATGCAATCACAGTCTTTTTTTTTTTTCTAGTTTATTCCTTCTTCTGTCATCTGATTTATTTTTGCACTGCAGTAGCTTCTCTTTCATATTCAGATAAAAGAAGTTTATTAAAGTAGTTTGTTAAAATGACTCATTTTGCTTTTCCCATCTCTCCCTACGTCAATATGAATTAAAACAATTTATTAATTGCTTTAATTATGGTTATAATTTTTCTCTTATTTCCTTCCAGAAAGATGAAAGCTTTAATAACCTATTTGCATTTTTAGGTAGATTTTTTAAAGGTTTTCTAGTCAAATCTGTAAATGCTACTGTTGGTAGAAGAGACAGCTGCTTCAACAGAGACACACTGCTTGCTAACTGAACTGGATCACCTTCATAGTCTCCAAGTCTTAACAATTTTGTCTCCCCCCTCTCAAAAAAAAAAAAAAAAAAAAGCACTTATGAATAAGTCTAGGAACGTCAGCCCTTTTAATTTGCTCTAATCCCATCGGCATTAAATTTGCATTTAGTCCCTTTGGCTCCTAAGCCTCTTTGTAAATTACCGTATGGCCTCTGAAGACCCTTGGGTGCTACTAAAAGCATCTTCCCTCATTCAGAAAATGGCTCATTTCAAGAGAGACGTGGCCTACTTCAGCCCATCATTTTCCTAAAGTGCAGATGGATAGAACCAGCCTGTCTGCAAGGCACAAGGACTTACGTCCGTAGACTGGTCTCCAGCATAGTGCAATATATCATCAATCATGCTGGTGAGGAGGTTGAGGCTGGAAGGGATGTTATGTGGGAGCAACAGGATGCTGACAGCCTGAAAAGAAAATACACAGGTAAATGGAAGAGTCAACACAGAAGGATGTAGCATGAAAACAGACCAATGTTTCTCTGCTCTGTTGTATTTTTGCTGTTGCTGTTGACTCCAGCTCCAAGTGACAAGTCCAAGTTCTATTCACCTGCCACTGGTCTTTCCAAGCAGCAAGATTTGCAGGGAGTGCACAGTGTGGCAGCCAACCTCACAACTTGGCCTCCACTGGAGCTCAAGCTCCCTGCTCAGCTTGAATGCCTTTGTATTGGCTCTGAGCTGTTTCTCCAGGCGTGGAAACACAGGACAGGCTGAGCTGGCTCACCTGTGTGCTGTGTCCCTGCAGGCAGGGATGGAGTCAAACCTTTTTCTGAATTTGACTTTGAACTCCAACCAGCTACTAAGGGCAGAACAGACAGCTATAATGGCCTTCCTGCAGCCTCTGAAACCAGTAACACCACCAGGAGAGTCACAAACCACCCACATCCTTCACCAGACAATCTATGCTATTTGTCACAAAAGCATGATTCCTATCTTCTTTCTCTGCAAGGAGAGTTGGATTCAGCTGCCCAGAGGCCAGCGATGACTGGACAACTGAGGCTTTGTAGCCCAACATTGGGAACTCTTTATTTGTTACAATCGTGTAGCCACAATTCCCATCTGACCCTGAGAAGAATGGTTTGAGATTTACATTTGAATTTTGAAACATGGAGCCCTCTCAGTTCACCTGAAGAAGACAGCTTCTTCATATTGTCAAGGGTTTGCCATTCACATATTAGGCAGGCAGTTTCTTGCAACAAAGCAGTAGTTCTGCATTTTCAGGTGTCAAATGATACTAGTGCAGCCAAAACAATACTGCAAGGAGCCTGACACTGCAGTGACACTAAATACAACTGAGCAGACAAACAGGTTATCCCTCTGTGGATCCCAGATGGGTGGAGTGAACAATGGAGAGGTTTGTGTTTCTGGAAAGGCAAGGAATAGTTGTTAAAGACACTTTTAACTGCCTTCTTCAAGGCTACAAAATCATTTGAAACCAGCAAGGGTTTCATTTATAACCTCAAACTATTCTGGTACATAGACTATGTTGAAAGCCACAGGGTGTTTAAAATACATGCACAAAAAAAAAAAAAAAGACAATCCTTATATGCATTTTATACCTGGGGCCATTTCTCAATATATGGAATCAGCATCCTCAGCCTGGCTTCTAAAGCGTCTCTCAGGAATTGATCTGTAGGCTTCTTCCTGGGTGAGGAAAAAATACAAATATGAAGAACATCCAAGTTAAAATCAGTTCTTGAGAACCTCAAGCCTCAGCAACAGCGATGCAAAGTATTGTGTATCCTTGTTGTCTCTAGTCCAATTTTGTATCTGGGAAGGTGGTATTGCTTGAGTAAATTACATTTCTGGATGGCCTCTCTATCTATTGAGTTCCCAGTGCCTGCCAAGGAAGATGCATTTTTATACCCAGTACTCACTCTGTCTTGCCCAACTGCACTTGTTTTTGTTCCTGCTCCAACAGATCAGACAGCTTGGTGTTGCACTGAGATACAAAGTGCAGGATCAGTTCACTGCCATCAGTTGTGAAACATCCCTGCTGCAGCACCAGAGAGACCCAGGGTCTGCAGGGAAAAAGGGAGAAGCACAGATCAGGGTCATACATACACTGCTAAGCAGGATCCGGCTAGTAAATATGTTGTGTTTATTTTATACATGATGTTATATGAATTTAAACAAAATAATGCTGTATTAAAAGTGCTCTGATACATATTTTCCTCTCATTAGGATCACTACTCTGCATTGTGCCTCAATTTAACTCTTAACACCGTTACCCTGCAGTAGCTGGGATTCATTCCTGCCCAGTACCATCTGCTGACTGGGGTACGCTGTCCAAGTTTATGTGGGGGAAGCATGCAGGTCTGTCTTTGAACTTCGGTTCCATCCAGCTTTTGACTGGTTCTTTGCTTCTCTCCCACATACCTTGGCTCCCTCTGCAATGGCTTCTGCCGTCCAGCCATGTTCAGGCACAAACTCCAGCGCTGCTGTGAGGATTCGGTGCTGCAGCTGCTCCTCGCTCTCATAGTCCTCTGACTCCTGGCCGCCCTGGCCAGTGTAACTATGAGAAGGTATTGGTACAGTGAGGGGAATGTTACCATCACCTGTCAGCAACATGGACTCTATCGCTCACTCAGTGCCACCAGTGTGTGTGAAAATGCTTTGAGATCTGTTCACTCAATGTACTTCTCATCTCTTCCTGTAAAATCCTTCCCCCTCCATTCTAGAAAAAGGAATTTTTAATGAACCTTTGCTGCTAGAGGAGAGGGAAATAAGGAAGGCTCAATCCAGTTGGTTACCTGGAGATCAACCAGCCTCAAATACCCCACTCCTTAAAAAAAACAAGCAAAAACCACTTAACTTTACAGATATAAGCGCATGGACACTGCAACTATAGATTGACACAAGAACACAGAAGTGCGGGCCTGTGCTCTGCAGACTAGAGAGGCTTCCTTGTGAAAGCAGGTCCCATCTTGTCTCCACGATGGACAGTGGAATTTGCACTGTCACAGCTACTGAAGCGCCATTAATTCTGGACTGCGCTGTCTCTGAGCAGCAGCAAGTTTCAGCAAAGCAAGTCCTTTTGATCGCACTGCCGGCAGGACAGCTCTAAAGCGAGCTACTGAGTTACCTGGAGCGAGGGCCCTGGGGTTCATGGTCAGGCTGGGGGTCTGTTGGGGGGGAGTCAAACTGCTGCTGAGGGGAAGATGCCAGCGGCTCCTTCTTCTCATCTGAGGCTCTCCTCAGTACAGCTGAGGCGTGGAGGGCCCGCTGGGGTGGGTAGAGCTGGCACCTGAGCCCTGAAAGGGAAACAAGGAGTCAGAGGTGTCCTTCAGATACAAGACAGCACAGGGGCTCTGGGTGGAGGACAGCATTGTGGCAAACACAGCCAAAAGGCACAGAAACCCGCAGGGAAAGTCAGCCTTTACTTCTGAGAAGCACTATTGTCATCCTAGACTTAAGTTTACTTGATGAGGTGGGAACATACGCTGAGGAGAGGAATCCTGCACGCGGGGCAAGCAGCGAGGAGCTGTGAAGGAGCTCGCTGACAGCCTCCTGCCTCACAGCCCCGGCGGGCCCCGCTGCGTGAGGCGGGGGGGGGGCGGCCCCGCAGCGCTGCCCTTCACCTCACCTTCCCCCGCACCCCACGCGCGCCCCCGCCCGCCACGGGCACGCGCAGGGGCAGGCACACGAGCACGAGCAGGAGCACGGGCACGCGCGCGGACACACTTCCCCACCCCCCCACCCCCCTCCGCCCCCTCACCCGCGCGGCCCCGCCACAGCCGCCAGCCCGCCCGCCGCAGGCTGCCTGCCGCCGCCGCCGCCATCTTGGAAGCGGGCAGGGCGCGATGACGCGGCGGGGCCGGGCCGTGACGGAGTCAGAGCGAGCCGAGCAGAGCCACACGCAGGTAAGCGAGAGGGGCCCTGCGGCTGCCCGCCGCTATTTTTCCTTTTTTTTTTTTTAATCCTATGGAAGCCTGCAGTACTGCTGAAAGCCCCTTCCCTGTGACCCAGACCGGGGGAGCGCTGCACCCACAGCACGGGGTGCCGGCTGCCCCCACAGCCTGCCAGCTGCCTTGGCAGGTCCCACAGCCGCAGGCCTGTGAGAGAAGGCTGGGGTGTAACCCCCCCGTCCTAAATAAGTTCCACTTCTGGAAATCTCGGGGGAAAAATACCCGCTACCCTGGAACGCCCCCCGTCATTGCTTGCCCTCTTGAGCCACAGCATGTTCTGAGAGCAGGGTGTGACTTTGTTCTATTTTTTTATATGTTTTATATGTATCTTTTGAGGTTTTCAGCCACCTGCCTGGGAAAGGTGATGTTTTGTCACGGTTAATACAGGTTTGCTGGTGTTAATCTTAGTTGTGGTTGCTTAGCTTGCATTCCAAGTGCCCTCAAGGCCAACTGTGAGGTCCCACAACCTGTATCACGTGCCTGGGATCTTTTACTTGTGTCTGTGCAGGCTGGATTACAACCCTTTCCTACCAGAGTCGCTTGGACAAGGCTCAGGGTTCTCCCATTCTTCATGTCTGCAGTTTCTAGGAGTCTTTTGACATGTAGAGCTTGAGGAACAGGGAGTCAAAGACTCCCAGACTGTGGGCAACTCAGTTAAATTTGGTGCAACACATCCGTAAGCTCTTTGATGAAAACATAGCAATGATAAGGTTTTATCCAGGATGCATCATGTTGTAATGATTTTAGACGATGAACTTAAAACAGACTGTTTTGAAGCAAGTAGATGACTTATATCTGACTGCAGATGTAGTGGGCAACCATTATGCTCGTCACTGTCTCTGTCCTCTATGGTTGTGTTAAATTAGAAAGGCTGCATTGGATGAGTAAAGTGAGAGGACAGGAAATTGTTTTCAGTAGTTGGTGCTGCAATGAGCACAGGTGACAACATGATTGACTCCTGCCATGACGCTTTTATGATGCAGATTTTCTTTGGCCTCTCTCAAAGATACAATATTTTTAAAGTATTATTACAGAGACAGGTTTCTCCAAACTCACAAAATACACATTCAGTTCCCCTCTTCCCTGCTGTGTAATTGTTCTCCCAGTGTCTGCAATGGTAAGAGTTGAAAGAGCTTCAATCTGGAGTGCTGGGAATGCCAAAAGTTACTCTTTTTTTTATTATTATTATTATTTCCTTCACATACGGTGGAAGCAAACTCTACTAGGTCATGTTGTGAGTAGGGAACAGTTCTAACTGTCAAAAAGTTGTCGCTAGTCTTGTATTCCAGAAATCCTGTATACGTTTATATTCAAATCCAAAGGAGAGCATGTAATTATTTTTATTTTTTTAAACATGCCTTGAAGTCTCCCTGTGAAACAAGCCTCTAAACTGGAGAAAAACCTGAATTATGCCCTTAAATGTCGATACTTCTTAATGTCATATGAATGCTTTACTTGTGGGAACTACATGCTGCCTGTCTCCAGAAAAATTCCCATTTATTACAAGAAGTCAGTGCTCAATGACCCCGTCATATTCTTTGAAGGTTTTGGTGCACTTGGCAGTTACCCTTCCTGTCTTCCCCTGCCCTGTACTTCTGTTTGCTGTTGCCAGGCTGTTGCTGTTGCTGCTGCTGCAGAAATGGGAGAGTATGGGGTCGCACCTGGGCAGCGTGTGGCCGTCATCTGGGACAGTTCCTCACCGGCTTCAGCACTGAAGGAGTTGGTGGATAAAATTCAGGCACTGGTGGGAGCTGATAATCGTGTCTCTGTGGAAAACATTAACCAACTGTCTCAATGTAAGAATGATCCTAATTTTTCACTGCTTCTTTTAAAGGGAGAGGGTACTTTATCTTACGAGCTCACGTGTTCCCTGGTTTGTAAGTCAGCATTCAGAGCAGCAATAGCACCCACTGTTAATGCTCTCCACTGGCAATGCAGCAAAGACAGTGATATACCCTGGTCATGCTTCCTATGACTGGTGTCTTTTACCAGTTATTGCTGTTATACACAAGCATGAGGGTTGAAGAGGAATGTACAACTGATTATTAAGCAAAGATTTGTGCATGTGTGCATGGAAAATTGTACCATCTTATGTCTTTCTTTCTTTGCAGCGGCTCACAAGGAGTCCAGTTTTGACGTAATTCTCTCTGGCATGGTACCAGGCAGTACTGTGCAGCACACCACAGAGGTATTGGCAGAAATAGCTCGGATACTTAAGCCTGGGGGACGTGTACTTCTAAAAGAACCGGTGATTACAGAATCAGGTGAGAGAATCTGTATCAGCCTTGCTTTCGTGGTAACAGAGAAATTCCTGTAAGAATTAGTCTGTAATGAAAGGCACCAGGAACACTGGCCTCCATTTAGAGATTTTCATTCTCCTGACACACTAACCTGAATAGCATTTTTTTTAAATCATGTGTTTGAGCTGATAGCCATCAGGGGTTTCTGCAGGCATTCTCCTTCTACCAAAAGTGCACGACAGGTATGTTCCTGAACTACACTGAAAAACTCAGTGAAGGCTGGTTTTCTCCTGGAGTTTGTAGTGTTAACAGATTGTCACAGGTGCCATGTTTCTGAGCCTCCAAATTGATTTTTAAAACAGGTAACAAATGCTGAGGGAGGCTGTTCTGGAAATATTCCTAGGACAAAATGAAAAATGTGCACAGTCTGGAGTAGATAGGGTTTTTTGGTTTCCAAAGTCACATCTGGCAGGCTGGACCGTGATGGACTTAGAATAAAGTGCAACTGAGAGTATGGAGACAAGGTGGCTGAACTCAGCACAGTCCTGTGCACAAGGGAAGAAGCCTGTAATGGGTCTTTGATTAAACAGTGATTGTAGTAACTTATGCTTATTGGCACAAGGCTCTTGAATGTTATGTTTCTGAATTTAATGCTCCTTTAGGAATCCATGTTTTGAAAATTCATGAGTTTTCACTGCAATATATGAAAATGTTTTGAGGGATCTTTCTTTCCTTTTAAAATTGGTGTTGATTGTGTTGAAGGAGATTTTGGCGTATGTAGAACAAATCTGGACCTAGAACCAATTTGAGACCCCAGGCCATTATTCTAATGAACAAGCTGCTCACCCTTTCTGGTTTGTTCCTGCTGTCACTGGAGAGGGCCCATTTTAAAGCAAAGGTTTGGCTTGAGTACCTCCTTGTAAAGCTGTCTTGCTTTTCCAGGTTTCAAGCACCATATCCGTTTCTTAGTGACTTCTGTTCTTCCCTCCTGCTATTATCTGGTTTTGTGTCTTCCAGGAAACAACAGCAAAATCAAGACAGCAGCCAAACTGTTCGCAGCTCTGACTCTTTCTGGGATAGTGGAAGTGAAGGAGGTATGTTTGTACTTACTGCTTCCAGAACTCCCTCGTGCTGTTACCTTGAAATATTAGACGAGGACTTGATGGGTAGCAAGATGTTTTGCTACCCTGGTTTACTGTAAATGTGCATGGACATTGCCCCAAATTTTTGTTACTGCAAAGGTAGTGTTATTCTTTAGGGCTGAAAATAGAAGATAAACTGTCTTTTGTCATGACTGATTGCTTGTGTCACACTGATCAACCATTTCTGCTGCACTGCAACAAGGACTGACTCACCCTCTGCTCTGAAGGATAAGCAGCTGGAGCCAGACGCAACTGATTATCTGTGTTCACAGGAATAATGCACAGGGCACTGAAATAAGGTGGCTCTGTGTGAAGTTAACTTAAGATCTTGCATTGCAGCTGCAAAAGGAACCTTTGACCCCAGAGGAGGCCCAGTCAGCCCAAGGTCATTTGGGTTACCAAGGCAATGACCTTCTCATTGTTCGGATAGAAGGCAGAAAACCCAACTTCGAAGTGGGATCTTCAAGTCAGCTCAAGCTATCCTTTGCCAAGAAACCTGGTCCTTCAGGTAATGTGTGGTGCTTGCTGTATGTGTGGATCACCTGCCTCTCAGGTGACCAACATCCCTTGGAGCAGGGAGGCTGCTCTGTGGTAGGGAGTGCTACATAAAAATCTGCAGAGTGGGGGCTTTCCAAAGTTTTTGAATTCTCTGTTGGAAATATGGGGCAAAATACTGCCCAAAATTTGTTGGGTAATGGCTGCATTAGTTACTATTTCTTATTTTGGCTGCAGGAAAACCTTCTGTGGATCCAGCCACTGCTAAGCTGTGGACACTCTCTGCCAATGATATGAATGATGAAGAGATGGTATCCATTTTTATTTGTGAGACTTCACTGTCATTCCTTCTCTCTTCTATTCTTTCCTACTCTAACTAGTTTCAGTCATGTCTCATGGGAAGCTTTACAACGTAAGAGGTAGAAAAGAATCTCTGGGGCAAAATTTCTCAACTGCTGTATGAGGTGTTGGGTGCCCAGAGGTGTGGTGAGGGTGGAGAGGAGACAAGGTTAAGAGGGGATGGCTGCAGCACTGTATTGCTAGTGCTACAAACAGGGGCATTTCTGTGAACACAGCACAGCAATGTCATTCCTTACTAACAAGTCCATTTGCTGTGTGTTATCTTCCATGGTATGCTCCAGGATCTTCTGGACTCTGATGAACTGTTAGATTCAGAGGATTTGAAAAAGCCAGATCCAGCTTCCCTCAGAGCTCCATCCTGCAAAGAAATGGGCAAAAAGAAAGCCTGCAAGAACTGGTCAGTGCTGGGATTAGCATAACAGTGAACCTGTTAACTGTAATATTGAAACTTTAATGTTGCATGTTTTTAAAAAAGATTGTGGGGACTTCAAAGCATAATTCAGTTGGTTTATGTCCTTTCTTATCTTAGCTATTTGAGTGTGAATCCAAATACAGTGAGAATCAGTTAGCTATACCAAAACTGCTATAAACTACCACACTGATATGATCAACTCTTCTTGGAGATAGCTGCACAGTTTGTGCAGCCTTCACTAAAATCCTGGTTCCTCAGATTCCGGGGAGAAATAGT